TAAAGTAATTAACATTAATAAATAAATCAATATTGTGCAATAAATGAGATATACAATCTACATTAATATAAAGGTTTTGCTCTCAGAGCCCCATATTTTTCAGAACGAGGGTGAAAAAATGCCCCAACCAATGGGTCCATGCAGATGTAAATTACTGTTTGTAATAAAGCATAGGTGGACATTACAGTTTTCTCCTCTAGCAAATGTCAGGGCTAAAAACTGGAGGTTACCAGACGTGGCAGCAGGGCTTAATTTTCACTGCCTTATCTCCCTGAACCTTATTACTGGTGATATGATTATGTTTTTGTCTCGGCTGTGCCGAGCATTCTCATAGTTGCAATTTGCTGTGTTTGTGTCCCATTATGCGAGGGGGATGGGAGAGGGGTACGAAAGAAGCCAGATATTTTGCAGATGCCTTCAGTAACAAAGGTATTGCGAGAAATGCCTTATTTTTAAAATAGGCTGGAACTCAGGAAGCTTTTAGTAAATTTCCTTTGATTTACTTGATTTCACCATTTTATTTAGGGTGGCTTTAAACGCGCTGACTGTATATTTTATGCCACGCTGTTAAATTGCAGGGACATTGAAGAATAGTTTTATTTAAGAAAAAAAAAAATCGGTACGATATTGTGATCTTTCTTCTTTTAATAAAGCAACTGTCACGTTGCCCAGATTTCTATGTGCCGTATTTTCATAGAAAGAGTCGGCGTCTGGGCTCAGATCCTCCAGATTTTTTTTGACCGAGGTAAGGGGACAGACGCGACATAGTGATGACATTATGCTTTTTTCTAAATATGAAAGCCTACAAAATAAACAAAATAGCATGCTGATCTTTTCTTCAAAGGTGTTATTTCTGAGCGTAAGGATCGCACACTAGCACTGACCGTACGCTCAGCTTCGCCCTGAACCCCAGCCCTTCTCCTATTGTATTTCCATATTTTTGTGCACACAAAGGTGCCTGGGTGTGATGAGATTTTAGCGCCTATATCGGTGGCCAGTTCAGCCTTCAGCCTCGGCATTTGTGCTGCACAATTTTCTTTCGGCCGACTCCTGCCGCATCTATATTTTAATCGGAAAATAAGAAAATGCCCTTTTCGTTCTATGTAAAGGACAAGCCCAAAGACATTTGGAAATAGCTCTTAATCCTTTCTGTCTAGAGGAATATAACTGAGGAAAGGTAAAGAGGAAAAATAGAAGAGGTTACAGACTCGCACAGAATCATCACGTTTACACAATGGTTCCAAAAAAAAAAAAAAAAAAAGGAAAAAAGCGACATTTCCATGTTCTCATGTACCGATATCATTTTCCAAAATTAACAGGGCACCCTGGTCCCCATCACCCGTTCACATTCTCTGAGTTCGGCCTCACTGTAATTGCGAGGGGTGAAAGCGCCTCGTATGGAGCCTGATGGGCTCGGGGCTGGTGCGGGCTCGGGCAAGGAGCCCGCTCATGCCAAGAAAAACAAACACCAAAACTCCGCTAAACATTTCCCCCTAGGAAAGTGGATGTCCACCGAGAGACCAGGGCATTTTCCTCCGGGATACGGCTCTGCCTGCAAGGGCTGTCTCTGGCGTCAGGGATCCCAAGGATTTTGGATTGTACAATGCCGTTTTATTACCGCCGGAAAGGCTATTTCTAGGAAAGTGTTAACAATGAACTTCTAAAAAGGAAAAAAAAAAAAAAAGAAAAAAGAAAGAAAAAGAAAAATAAACCACACACCAACAATCCTGCAGACAAAGTGCCAACAAATGCGTTCACGAGAGACTGGGCTTTAAAAAATGCGGAATTTGGCTAAGCCAACATGAAACAGATTTCGATGAATTCTGCAAATAAGCAGAAAGCAGCGAAACCCTTTATTTCCTCAGGTTCTGACCAGAAGTGCACACTGGAAAGAAAAAAAACATAAAACAAAACAATCTCAGAAAGACAGAACATACTCGGTTGCTGGAGAACACCCAAGAAATTCATAAGAATTACTTTAATTCTGTAAGCTCTACTTTCATTTTAATAGATCTCCATAGCACTTTTAAAAAGAGGGAATTCATTCAGCAATGCCTTGGAAAGGTGATGTTAGGATATTAAAAATATCTTTTCTTTTTGGTCTCTCTGTCTTTCTTTTAAAAAATAAGCACACTCAGGAGCTGATGTTAATCTCGCCTTTAAATAAAATACGTTTTTAACATTATGTTTTCTGTACCTAGAGGTTTATCTAAGAAAATCCTCGAGTAAGAATCAAAGATAAACTGTGGAAATGCATGTTTTTTATATTACTTTTCTTTCCACCCGCGTTAAGACTGTCCTTAAAGGAGTAGATAGATTTTCGTTCTAGGGAACGAATTCTGAATATCTTTAGGGTTTCATTTTTTCCTTTCTTAAAATTATGGGATTTTTTTTTTTTAAAGCTCGGATGCATTATAAAAGATTACGACCAAAAAAAAAAAAAATTCTTTTAAAGTGGCATATTTCTCCAGCACGTCACGGTTATGGGTTATTTGTTTAATAAATCTTTTTGATGCTTTATTTTCTCATTTGGAAGGCCCTGAAATCTTATCGTTACTTATATATTAGATATTTTATTAGCAGTGGAATTATTATTAGGGGGAGAGGAGGCTGGAGCGGCGGAGGCTGCGGCACTGCAGCGCCCGCGCGCGCCCTCCTGTGGCCGCTGCCCGCCACAAGCCGGGAATTCTCCCCTCTCCCGGGCTTTCTCCTCCGCTCAGCCCGTCCCCAGCCGTGGCTTTCTTCCTTCCCTTTTTAATAGAAACTTAACACCGCTATCATTGAGCATTAATGCAGGATTAGTGCTGGGGTGTTTGGGTTTCCGCGGCCCGCTTTTGCGGTGTCTCGGCGTTTTGAAGGCGTATTAATGCGCTGAGATAGACTGTCAAAGCACTGCAGGGAGCAGAAAAGCAAACGACTCGTTCTCGCCCTGTGGATTAAGGATCGGGAGACACGCGAGAATTTGGCTATAAGGTCAGGCAAAATGCCGTGAGGAATTCCCCGCGACTTTGCGCATTTCTAATTAATGGCCTTTGAGGGGAAACCGCATAGAAATATCGTCTTTGTGCCTAAATTACGAGACATTTCCTACTATTTTTTCTAAGCAAACCCCTCTTTTTCTTAGGAGCCAAAAAAAAAGAAAAGAAAAGAAAAAAAAAAATAAAAAGGAAATTTTTTTGGGGGGTGGAATTCCCAGGGCGCAGAAGAGAAAGAGAGGGAAGTGAGGAGCCCCCTGTGCTCCAGCTGGCAGGGACTGGAGCAGGGCACGCTCACTGCACGACGCCGAGAGCTCACCTCGACCCAGCCGGGATTTTCTTTGCGTTATGATGCATTTGCTAATATGGCCAGCTATGCGGTAAAAAGTGTGTGTGTGGCTGTGCGTGTGTGTGAGAGAGAGCGAGGGAGGGAGGGAGAGAGTGAGACAGAGAGAGAGTGGGTGGTGGTTGAAAATAACAGAGGAACCTTAAGGCGCCTAATTATTCAGAAAGGTTAAAGGTGATGACCTTGACATTTTGGAAGTTCAAAGGCATACACTTATGTTTTTCTTGCTAAAGTGTTTAAAAAAAATTTTTTTTAGTCATGCCTCCCTCCTCTTCTATTTCTCTATTTTTTGAATTCTCCGTTTTTTCCTGACTTAGTTGGCACTTTTGCCTTCCCTGCCTGCGAGAGTAGCGAAATTCCTACTCGTCCTATTCAAAAAAGCCAAATTCTTTTCTCACTCGTCGCCTTTATTGCACATTGCGGAAATCTCTTTTTCGCCCACCAGAAGGTGTATAATATAACCCAATTAAGCTGTTTAGAACCTCGGGTTTTATGGTGTTGTCTAGACAGTTCAAGGTTTTGTAAACAGCCCAGGCAGGTCGCGCAGGACAGAGCGGCGCGGAGCGGCGCGGATCTCCTCCGGGTGCCGGCCCCCGGCGGGGGCAGCGGGTCTCACAGAACCACCCTCTGCTCCCACAAGTGCTGCGGGTGGTTTTGCTTTAGGGTGGTTTTTCTTTTTTCTCTTTTTTTTTTTTTCCTTTTTTTAAATTTTTTTTTCTTTTTTTTTTTTTTTTCTCCCCAACTAGTGCCAATTGTTTATAGCTCCCTCTTGTCTGACTCGCTTGGAGCCCTCAGTCTTTCTGCCTTGCTCTTCACTAACGAGTAAACAGTCACTGACGTTGGGGATTCTGGGCTTGTTCGGAGCCTGACCAGTTAAACGAAAAGCCTTTCTCGTTGTTTATAGTAATGGTAGCACCACCAGAAGTGATGGTCTGCAGACAGCCATGTTGGCTCTGTCTCACAGCGAACGGGGAAGGTACGCATACCTACAAAGGAGAGCTAGGCATCTCAACTACCACTTAATTAAAATGCTTTTTAAAAAACCCGGGTAGGCTTCCTCGCATTATTATTTAACTGAACTTGGCTCTAGCCCGGAAAACGCTAGGATCCTTCGGAGATGGAAATCCATACAGTGCACGGAAGTTATAACCTTAACTTTACTAGAAACCATTTATTCACATGAAAAAGACAGTGGCCCATGCTTTTGGATGACAATAGAAACATATATATATATATTTTATATATAGCGAGCGTACATTTACCATCTCTTAAATAAACCGCATTCACTTAAAGGGAGGAAAGTGTTATCCTAGCTCAAAAGCAACAACAGAGCCCCCCCCGAACTCAATGAATTGTAAGCAACAACTACCAGACACACTGCAGGTCCATTGCTGGCACTGTGGGAGAGGAAAAAAAAAGCACCTTTGGCGAAAAACACTCGAGAGTGGACAGTTGGATTTACCCTAGTTTCCCCTTATCAGGAATCTGCTCCGCCAAGCCCCGAAATCTCCAGTGGCCATTCAGTGTGGGGAGTTGCACATGAAAATGAAACTTTGAGTTCCGCAGGGTGGATGTGTCAAGTAAACAAATTAACTTTTGCATTCAGATGGTTGGTCAGAGAGACCGAAGTATTCTTTGTTTTTCTTCTTTCTTCCTGTTCTCTTGCTTCTTTTTTTTTAACATTTTTTTTCTCTTTTTTCTTTTTTTTTTTCTTTTTCCTTTTTTTTTCTTTTTTTTTTTGTTCCTTTTCAAAACAAGGGATTCCCTGTGAAATACTGGAGTCGATCTCTGTTCAGTTTCTTTTCTTTCATCCTTCGATTCTGGAACCAGATTTTAACTTGCCGGTCAGTGAGGTTGAGCATTCTGGACAGCTGCAGTCTCTTCTCTTTGTTTATGTACACGTTGAAGAAAAATTCCCGTTCCAGTTCTCTTATCTGATATTTGGTATAGGGGCACCTCTTTTTCCTTGATCGCTGGGGAATTGCTGAAATTCAAGAGAGAAGAAACTGATTCACGCTGTTGCTACGAACATGCTCAGCTAGGGATTGATCAGAGACTTTGATAATATCCCATTGCCTGCAAAGCAGCCCTCTAGCACTTCAAAAAATATTCCTGACGCTTATAATCTCCGGGTGACTTAGCAAGAAAAGCTAATATTTCCCAACTTCTCCTTAAAAGAGAGCTCTTCCAGCAATACAGAGAGATATTTAAATGGGCTGGAAAAATTCCAAGTTTCTCAAACTCCTCTCACACACACCCCCCGCCCCAAACAAACGAAGATCTTAAGCTCTAAACCGAAGGCAGCTCTGAGCACTACCTGTGAAATCTCTCCGTCTGCCCCCGATGAATCAACAATTTAATAACAATTAATATCCTCTTCCAAGAATACCTTAAGCCCACCTAAATTGGTTTCCTATCGTAAACACGCTTTACAACGGTAAAGGAAATCTTATAGGATATATAAAATCCTTTGGATGCTTATAAAATTGCACATAAAATGCGGCTTGACAAAGTGTTGGCCTTGTACTCTTGCCCCCAATTTACTACTGATACCTACCTGAACTGTTGCTCTTCTCTGCAACAGCCTCACCAGAAGGGGAATCGGCGCTGTTCGCTGGTGTCACTTTCTTCTCCTGGCTGGAAGGTGTTTTACTGCAAGTGCTGTTCTGGGCTTTCAAGTCGCCCTTCTCCGCGTCCCCCTCGCTCTCGGAGTGCTGCTGGTACGGGGGTCCGGGGGCTGTCTCGTAAAACTGGTCGAAGCCTTGCGGCAGGATGCCGTTCCTCCCCACCGAGCTGTAGAAGTTGGAGGCGGCGGGAGACGGTCCGTGGTGGCCGCAGACAGGGTCCGTTTTGAACAACATTTCCGTCCTCCTGTTCGCAGGCTGCAGAAAGTCTCTGTGCATCACCTCTTCAGCTGAGTAATAAGGAGCATAACTGCCCCTATACTGCCATTTGCTGCGCTCTAATCCGTATTCCCTGAATGCTACTTCGCGCACAGGTTGAACATGAGGTAAATTAGAAGAATAAGGAAAAGTCATTTGACAGGACGACGATTGAGACAAAAAAGAGGGCTTCGTCGAGAAATCTGAGGGTGAGACGTAATAGGCGCACCCTGGCAGATACATATTGGATGTGCCGTGACTGCAATCGTCAAACTCAGTCATGTCTTCCTTTTTGCGATTGCAAGCAACCAGGAGGCTTCAATGCATTGAACAAGATCCATCTATTGCACAAGAGGGTTTGGACAGGATCAACTAAGAAAAAATCCCCACCGTGTGCTGACGTGCAATTCATCTTGATTGATTCTAGTGGTAATTATGTCACGTGACGCGATGTAGAAATGTCCTTATATCTATATCAGCCCCTCGGAAAGGCTCCTAAGATCTCTCCAAAGAGCCCTCCCAGCACGGGCAGGCGAGCGCGCCGTTTGTACAAATATAGCCGGTTTTAAGCCTCATCCCTTCGCCAGGCGATGCGAGACACACGTAGGTGGTGCGGATCACCTGGGGCCCGGGCAGGCGCCTGCCCACCGCCGGAGCCCGGCGCGGAGCCCCCCGCCCGCATCCCCGCCCGCATCCCCGCCCGCATCCCCGGCAGCCGGGGGGGAGCACTGCCACCCCCGGGGAAGGCGAGGGCTGGGGGCTCACGGACGGGCACCCCCGGCTCGGAAACGTGATCGCTTCCTCCTCAGAGGGAGCGATACTCTCCGGCCGCCGCTCAAGCAGATGATGAGCGGGTGGGTGATGGCTCGCTCAGGAAAGCCAAGTCCCATTCACACATTCGAGTGTACGACCGGATCTGCCCGCCCGGCTCCCGCAATCCACAGTTGGCATCAAAACCGGTCACGAAATTCAAAGCCCGAGTTTCGATCACCTCGTTTTCCCTCGCTTATAAGCCCAAACACTGCGCACTTGTGTCAGGGCGCCAAACTGAAATGAGAAATACGCAAACAGAACATCTCTCAGCAGCCGGATTTACGAAAGGGAGACACTTTCGGGCTCTCTGTAAGGCAGAGGGCTATGGCAGGGAAAGAAGTCCACCAAGCACGGTTTCCTTGGGAAGCAGAGCAGCAGACAAAGTGACCTCTGTTCTCCTGCCTCCAACTCCCACCAAAATGTTCATTTTCATTGGAAGTGAAAAGCAAGACCTGGGAGCTGGCAGCACGCACAGCAGCCGCCAGCCCTGCTCCCGCCCTGCCTTCGAGGGCTCGTTTTTGCCAATTTTCCTCTTTTCCTTAAAATATGATTTTAGACAGACAAGCACAAACAGGGCCGCAAAGGTTGAAAAGAGAGGAGAATAAGGAATACACGCCAGCAATAGCCCTATACTCGACCAATTGCTCATTCCAGAACCATTTGCCAGCTCTCCATGGGAATGGGTTTTTCCGCCACTGTACCGCACAGCCAGGTCAGCTCCATCACAGGTCGCTCTCCAAACAAACCCGAGACCTGGGCGAGTCCCCAGGCCGAGCACGGACACCCCAGCAATGCCCGGGCGGAGGCTCGGCGTGCCGGCAGGCCCCGTGTCACCTCCACAAAGGCACCTCGGGGTCCCACGGCCAGCGGAGAGCCCGCCAGGTGGGGGACCGGCCCCACAGAGCTCCGGGCAAGCGGGGACAGGGCCCGTGGGCTCCCCGGCCCCTCGAGGCGGCCGTGCCCGCTGGGGACTCGGCTCCGCTGCTGCAGGAGCCTCCTGCTCACCCTCGGCCACGCCATGCGGAGAGGCTCCGGGGGCGGGAGCCCCGCAGCCCGGGCTGCGCCCCGCAGCCTGTCCCCCGCCCCGCCACCACCGCCACCGCCACGGCCACCGGCGCTGCCCCTCCTGCACGCCCTGGATCCCCAGAGCACTCCAGGGCTACCCAAGGGGCTCCCATGCCGCAACCCAGCTAGCTCTTTCTAAAAATAAAAAGACCAAAGGCAGGCAGATATTATGGAGCTCATTTTAACAGCCCCTCACCGCCGCCTCTTTCTTTCCTTTTCCCTTTTCTTTGTACAGTTGGGTGTTTTTTTTGTTTTGGTGCCTCACTCGCAAAACACCTCAAACGCCACACATTGTTCTCAGCAGATAGACTCTTGCAAGTTGCAAGTTATCACTAGAAATCAAAGCACAGAACCACCACTCCCTCCCTTAATCGCCTTCCGAGCCCTCTCGGTTCTGCTGCAACAGAAAAAACAACCTCCCAAAAATGATGTCTGCGCAGTTAAAATGGCTCCTGTGTCACTAATTACCCTGGACCTTGCAGCAAAGCAGGGCAGGGCTCCGTTCGGATTGTGCCCCCCCAAGGTTTCTGATCGCCTATCTCGTCAAGAGAGATGGTTCTGGAAACCTATGGAGCTTCATTTTCTTTACCGTTCAAACAACTAAATGCGCCTTAGCCAGAATCTTTCACCTTCTTTTCGATGCAACAAGCCCAACATCAATTAAATTTTGGCGCAGGAGCCAACCGGTTTCAACTAATTCAAGTTCAAAGACATGGCGACGATTTGTTAGTACGAAAGCTCTTTTAGGAAACAGTCCTTTAAGAAACGATATAATCTGAGAAATGTGAGACCAATATCACAGCAGAGACCCCGCTGGAATAAGGCAGAGCTGGGGGTCCCCGCCTGCCAGAGCATTTTCACCCTGGGGTCGGTACCAGCCCAGCTCTGAACATCACAATAACACCCCCACACACACTCCCCCCCCCCCTTTTTTTTTCTTTTTCCCTTACGCAGATTAAATAACATCGAAACATAAACGCACATCATGTACACAATCAGGCGAACACTTTACCGTTAGGCGTCTTGAAACATCTGCAATCGTTGCCTGGAATCACCAAGTATTCAGGTCCAAGAGACATTTCCAAATGCTCTCCGTGGAAATTAAGGCGACTTGCGTAACGTTTGGGCTTAAAAATACACCCGGTCCGGCTGGAGAAGATGCGGTATTTTTGTGCCACCCAAGATAAGACACTAACTTGACCTTAACTTTGTTATGGCGCCCCTAGTATCTGGAGAACGTGAACAGACACTGTCTGGCAGCTCTCGTAAAAACCGACTGGAGAAGAGATTCTGAGTCATTTCATTTATTGCCACTACAGTTCTGCAAGAAAGCTTTTCCTCTCTGCCAAACTTTAATTATTTATGCTCTTTTAGGAAGCACAAAGGCATCCAGAGCCATTCCCAACAAACCAAGTTGCGTTTGCAGCCTTATCAAAAGAGGAGGGATGGAGAGCCTCCTCGAAGGGCTTTATCACGTTTGGGCTGCGGTGGAAATGCAAAGATGTTTATGTTTGAGTAAATAAAGGGATGAACCGTCGCCTGCGTGCTGCGGAGGGACGCGGGCGTGGGCACAGCAAGCGGGTGCCCGCCGCTCCATCCCGCCCCGCAAAGCCGGTGCAGGGGGCACCTGGTAACACACCCCAAATAATCCAGTGGAAGGGCGTGGAGTGCATCCACCTCACTCGGGTGCATCTCCTGCTCGCCCGGCGGCGCGTCGCACACGCGTGTGCACACGAGTGCCCAGGGGACAGCCCGGGTGGGTGTGCGCAGGCAGAGCCGCACAGGCAGGGCGCGCCCCGCGGCTGCAGCCCTGCCACGCGTGTGTGCCTCCCCACGCCCGCACCACTGCCCTCGCCCACTGCTTCAGGGGAAGGGATGAGCCCTGGAGCATGGGCACGCGTGAAATCATGCACCGTTTTCTACCGCCGATGTGTCTGTGCACAGCAGGAGCCCACAAACGCGCACGTCTGAGTGTGCACACGCGGTCACACACAACGGGCACCGCTGAAATGAGTGCACCTATAGACACACAAGCACGTACAGAGATACATTGTACACAGACTTTCTCAGCAAACCGCAATTTAGATCCTACCTCCTCTGCCTTTTCTCTTTCCGTAGGCGATTTAGACTAGGAGCTTCACAACAAGCCATCATCTTGCATCAGATGCGTTTAATAAATAATATATTGCCTTTCACATATTTTCATCCGAGGTTCCTCTTCGGATTTCATATCACCCATGCAATAAAGGGACGGGTTGTACTGGGGAGGACCAGGATGGGGAAGAACAGAGCAATGGGTCAATTTCTCACGGACTGTAGCCGTCTGAATAGTATTCCAAGAGAGGGTAAGAAAAGGGACTTTATCTGGTTTTTGCTCTTCTCCTGGCTCGCTTCATTGGGGTTGCTTCTAGTTTTTTTAATTAGGGAATGCCACTAGATGAAGAGACCATCATTGTCCGCAATGCGTCAACTCCCAGCACGGAGGCTGAACGTATCGAAGATTTGGAGGGACCCAGGAGTGGTTCCTGCGCCTGTGGATGGCTGGGTGTGCATCCCTTGCCCCCGGGGAGCTGTCACCCGGCCAGGCTTCGTCCCCGCTTTCCTACTGGCAGCCACCCCGCCATGAGCGAGGTAGGGTTTTGTCTGCATTGGGCACTGCGGGCGGTGAGAGTGGCGACGAATGCTTTGGGCTGGTTTTCCTTCTCCCCCCGAAACACCACCCAAGCGTTACCTTTGGGGCTCCCTGGAAAGCTTTCGGGAAAATGGCTACGTCTCTGCCTGCCTAGGAATCCGGGATTTAGCTCCAAATTCATCTGGACTACTGTGCCCTCTCGAGCAGTACTTGCAAGCACAGGAGTATGAGCGAAGCTCAAATATGATTCTTTACCAAATAATGAGTTTATTGCCTTTGGGAGGGCTATAGCCCCGTGTAAGTAGGTATCAGCTTTGTGCCGTTCCTTGCCGTTGTTTAGATTTTTTGTGTACGCCACGAACAACCATATCTGAGTCTATTTCACATGCCAGAAAAGAAGGCAGCCTCTGCCAGCCTAATTATTGTTACTGTTGGGAGCCGTGGAAACGCTCTTCATTAAGAAATGAAGACTTAGGTTGAAACGGCAGCCAAAAGGCATTTTAATACGGACCTATAAATCCGTGAGATTTTTCTTTTAGAATTCATATTCTGAGGTGTCAGACTAAGGGCAATGTGCAGTTTCCTCAGGCCTTGGAGCTCTGGCCAGTCTCACTGCTCGGGTGTTGCAGAGGCCGGCGGCTCTCGGCAGAGAAACCTCCCATCAAGATGCGGGAAAAATCGATCTCATTCTCGTCCCAAAACAGTGATCAAACGGCTTAGACACTGCTCCCAGCCCCTTTGCTTGGGCTATCCTCTGAGGTCTATATCTGGGCAAAACCCCGAGCCGGTTCCCACTTTTCCCTCCTACAAATCTGTGCAGAAACGGCGATGGGGGCTGGCTGGCGGAACG